CTGTTCCCGTAAACAAGTGCAACCCTGAGCTCCCCGGAGGGCCGGGGAGCCAATGCGCGCATCCCCGCTCGGTGCCCAGCAGCTGTTCACTGGAGGACGCAGCCCGCCTCCCCAGCCTTCCTCTCCACGGCCTTCCCCAGCCCCCAGCTCCAGCCTCAGGAAGTGGCGCTGCTGACAACCTCTCCTCCAGCCTTGCCTCCTGCGGAGAGAGTCCTCAGCGCCAGCCTTTCCTGGCCTAATTAAGCTGGGTAATGAGTAGCTCAGAGGAGGGGATAAAAGCCCCAGGCGGCTTAGAGCTGGGACCGTTTATGACAGGGGCGTCTGCAGCTGGTGACATTCCTAGGAAAGTTATTTCTCAGAACCCTGGGAAGTTGCGTGCTGTTTCCTTAGCAAGCAGAGTGACGCCCCGAAGGTGAGCACCCGGGAACACGGCGTCTTAAGGGGGTCAGACCCGAGGGTCCCCAAGGTGACGGGGTGGGGTGGCCGTGCGTCTGCAGGACCGATCAGAGCGGCAGAGCAGCTACAGGCCACGCGAGGCTATGCCCTCGGCTTAGTCCGAGGCTGGGGCGTCCTTGGTGGCCACGTGACTCCCCGGGGCTTGGGTTTTGTGATGCTTCTGAATGATAGGACTCTGCCCAGCTCGCCCTGTCCTCTCGGGCAGGAAATCTGAGCTAGAGGCTCTGATCCTGACTCTGCCCCGGCCCCTGCCCCGGCCCCCTTTTAAGGGTATGAAAATTGTGTTTTGGAAACTATCAGGCGCCCAGCAGCCAGGAGTGGGTGGAAGAGTTCTCAGGCAGGGACCCTGCAGGAAGGGGAAGGTGGGCAGGAGGTGCTCTGGACACCAGGGTCTGCCCTTCCAGAGCCACACAGGAGCCCAGTGTTAATTATCACCACTCCTGCTCTGCAGCCACAGCCTCTACCCCCAAATTCTCCTTCGACTTTTGCACTCCGTTTTTGTTTTTTGACTCAGTTTTGTTTTTGTTTTCGTTTTGAAATGGAGTCTGGGTAAAGGGCAGTGGTGCGATCTGTAGCCCAGACTGGAGTGCAGTGGCGCGATCTCGGCTCCCTGCAACCTCCGCCTCCCGGGTTCAAGTAATTCCCCTACCCCAGCCTCCCAAGTAGCTGGGATTACAGGCACCCACCAACATGCCCGGCTAATTTTTTGTATTTTTAGTAGAGACGGGGTTTCACCGTGTTGAGCAGGCTGGTCTCGAACCCCTGACTTTGTGATTCACCCACCTCAGCCTCCCAAAGTGCTGGGATTACAGGCGTGAGCCACCGCGCCCGGCCGTATTATTGTTTTCTTTTCTTCATTTTATTTTATTTTATTTTTCAGGCAGAGTCTCACTGCTCTGTTGCCCAGGCTGGAGTGCAGTGGCACGATCTCGGCTGGCTGCAACCTCCACCTCCCAGGTTCAGGTGATTCTCCTGCCTCAGCCCCCTGAGTAGCTGGGATTACAGGCACCCACCACCACCAACGCCCGGCTAATTTTTTGCTTTTGGTGTTTTTTTTTTGAGACGGAATCTTGGCCTGTTGCCAGTCTGGAGTGCAGTGGCACAATCTTGGCTCACTGCAACCTCCGCCTCCTGGGTTCAAGCGATTCTTCCACCTCAGCCTCCAAAGTAGCTGGGACCACAGGCGTGTGCCACCAGGCCCGGCTGATTTTTGTATTTTTAGTAGAGATGCGGTTTCACCATGTTGACCAGGATGGTCTCAGGCTCTTGACCTTGTGATCCACCCGCCTCGGCCTCCCAAAGTGCTGGGATAACTGGTGTGAGCCACCGTGCCCGGCCATGTTTTTGCTTTCTTTTTTTTTTTTTTTTTTTTGAGACGGAGTTTCTCTCTTGTTCCCCAGGCTGGAGTGCAATGGCGCGATCTCGGCTCACCACAACCTCCGCCTCCTGGGTTCAGGCAATTCTCCTGCCTCAGCCTCCTGAGTAGCTGGGATTACAGGCACGTGCCACCACGCCCAGCTAATTTTTTGCACTTTTAGTAGAGACGGGGTTTCACCATGTTGGCCAGGATGGTCTCGATCTCTCGACCTCGTGATCCACCCACCTCGGCCTCCCAACGTGCTGGGATTACAGGCTTGAGCCACTGCGCCCGGCACGTTTTTGCTTTCTTAAGTCACCTTGCACTCCTTCCTTAGTTGGCCCGGGAACTCCGTGATGTATGGGGCAGGGCCTGGACTTGAGCTCGGCCCATCCTCAAGTCTCTGAGTGAACTTGGGAGATCAGGTGAGTTTTCAGCCATGGTTTTCCCACTTGTAGAGTGAAGGCTTTGGGGATGTCTCGTATCTTGTATGTTACAAACCTCAATCTCCACTTGGCCTGAGCCGCGAGTGAAGCTGAAATTGGGCCATGTTTCCCAGACCTTTTTTTTTTTTTTTTGAGACGGAGTTTTGCTCTTGTTACCCAGGCTGGAGTGCAATGGCGCGATCTCGGCTCACCGCAACCTCCGCCTCCTGGGTTCAGGCAATTCTCCTGCCTCAGTCTCCTGAGTAGCTGGGATTACAGGCACGCGCCACCATGCCCAGCTAATTTTTTGTATTTTTAGTAGAGACGGGGTTTCACCGTGTTGACCAGGATGGTCTCAATCTCTTGACCTCATGATCCACCCGCCTCGGCCTCCCAAAGTGCTGGGATTACAGGCGTGAGCCACCGCGCCCGGCCTTCCCAGACCTTTCAAATTAGGTTAACCAGTTTCTTTTTTTCTTTTTTTTTTTTTTGTGACGGAGTTTCGCTCTTGTTAACCCAGGCTGGAGTGCAATGGCACGATCTCGGCTCACCGCAACCTCCGCCTCCTGGGTTCAGGCAATTCTCCTGCCTCAGCCTCCTGAGTAGCTGGGATTACAGGCACGCGCCACCATGCCCAGCTAATTTTTTGTATTTTTAGTAGAGACGGGGTTTCACCATGTTGATCAGGCTGGTCTCGATCTCTTGACCTCGTGATCCACCCGCCTCGGCCTCCCAAAGTGCTGGGATTACAGGCTTGAGCCACCGCGCCCGGCCTAGGTTAACCAGTTTCACCCAAGAATACTTTCGCCCCAGTCATCCTGTAAAGCAGAGTCGTAGCTACTGAGTATGTATTATATTAGTATTATTACTATTACTATTAGAAACAGGGTCTCATTCTGTCATCCAGGCTGGAATGCCATGGTATGAACATTGTTTCACCTCCCTGGCCCACCTCGGCCTCCTGGATGGCTGGGACCACAGGCAGACGTCACCACACCCAGCTAATTTTTGAAATTTTTTGTAGAGACTGAGTTTCTCCGTGTTGCCCAGGCTGGTCTCAAACTCCTGGGCCCAAGCGATCCTCCTGCCTTTGCCTCCCAAAGTGCTGGGATTACAGGTGTGAGTCACGTGGCCTTGCTGAATATGTATGATTGATGATGGAAGGGCCCAGTTGCCTGCACCCCTGTGGTCAATATTTGTCCATTTCCAATTTTCGTTTTTTTTTTTTTTTTTTTTTTTTGAGACGGAGTTTCAGTCTTGATCTCGGCTCACCGCAACCTCCACCTCCTGGGTTCAGGCAATTCTCCTGCCTCAGCCTCCTGAGTAGCTGGGATTACAGGCATGCGCCACCACGCCCAGCTAGTTTTTTGTATTTTTTTTTTAGTAGAGACGGGGTTTCACCATGTTGACCAGGATGGTCTCGATCTCTCGACCTCTCGATCCACCCGCCTCAGCCTCCCAAAGTGCTGGGATTACAGGCTTGAGCCACCGCGCCCGGCTTTCAATTTTCGTTTTTTTGAGACCGAGTTTCGCTCTTGTTACCCAGGCTGGAGTGCAATGGCGCGATCTTGGCTCACTGCAACCTCCGCCTCCTGGGTTCAGGCAATTCTCCTGCCTCAGCCTCCTGAGTAGCTGGGATTACAGGCACGTGCCACCATGCCCAGCTAATGTTTTGTATTTTTAGTAGAGACGGGGTTTCACCATGTTGACCAGGATGGTCTCGATCTCTTGACCTCGTGATCCACCCGCCTCGGCCTCCCAAAGTGCTGGGATTACAGGCTTGAGCCACCGAGCCGGGCTTTTTTTTTTTTTTTTTTTTTTGTTTTGTTTTGTTTTTTTTTTTTAAGACTGAGTTTCGCTCTTGTTACCCAGGCTGGAGTGCAATGGCGCGATCTCGGCTCACCGCAACCTCCGCCTCCTGGGTTCAGGCAATTCTCCTGCCTCAGCCTCCTGAGTAGCTGGGATTACAGGCACGTGCCACCATGCCCAGCTAATGTTTTGTATTTTTAGTAGAGACGGGGTTTCACCATGTTGACCAGGATGGTCTCGATCTCTTGACCTCGTGATCCACCCGCCTCGGCCTCCCAAAGTGCTGGGATTACAGGCTTGAGCCACCGCGCCGGGCTTTTTTTTTTTCTTTTCTTTTTTTTTTTTTTAAGATGGAGTTTCGCTCTTGTTACCCAGGCTGGAGTGCAATGGCGCGATCTCGGCTCACCGCAACCTCCGCCTCCTGGGTTCAGGCAATTCTCCTGCCTCAGCCTCCTGATTAGCTGGGATTACAGGCACGTGCCACCATGCCCGGCTAATGTTTTGTATTTTTAGTAGAGACGGGGTTTCACCATGTTGACCAGGATGGTCTCGATCTCTTGACCTCGTGATCCACCCGCCTCGGCCTCCCAAAGTGCTGGGATTACAGGCTTGAGCCACCGAGCCGGGCTTTTTTTTTTTCTTTTTTTTTTTTTTTTTAAGACGGAGTTTCGCTCTTGTTACCCAGGCTGGAGTGCAGTGGCGCGATCTCGGCTCACCGCAACCTCCGCCTCCTGGGTTCAGGCAATTCTCCTGCCTCAGCCTCCTGAGTAGCTGGGATGACAGGCACGCGCCACCATGCCCAGCTAATTTTTTTTTTTGTATTTTTAATAGAGACGGGGTTTCACCATGTTGACCAGGATGGTCTCGATCTCTTGACCTTGTGATCCACCTGCCTCGGCCTCCCAAAGTGCTGGGATTACAGGCTTGAGCCACCGCGCCCGGCCTTTTTTTTCTAGTATTTATTTTTTTTATAGAGATGGGGTTTCTCCCATGTTGGCCAGGTTGGTCTCAAACTCCTGACCTCAGGCGATCTGCCCACCTCGGCCTCCCAAAGTGCTGGGATTACAGGCGTGAGCCACCGCGCCCGGCCCCTTTCCAAACAAGCCTTTTCTAAACTAGCCTTCTGATCGCCACCCTTCACCCTCTGCCCCCTGCTGTTCCCACAGTGCCGCCTATTCCCCTGGCCTCCTGCTTGTCTCTCTAAAAGAGGAGTGCGTAGTCAGATCGCAAATAACCTGGTGTTTCCGTTTTTCCCTCTGTCGGTGGTTGCCCCCGGAGGGGAAGGAGACCTGGTGGCCAGATGCCTGACGTGGCCGGGACAGCCGGTGCCCTCAGCATGCCTGGGGAAGGTCCCTGGGAATTGGACTTGAGGGGATCACACCAAGAAGCGGGGGTGAGCAGGCCTGGCAGCTGGACTCTGTGACCCTGCCCACCTCTGGCTGGGTCGCCTGGCGTGATCCCCCGGCCTGGCTGACGGCAGCTGGGCAGGCTCTGCTTGTGTCCTCCCGGCTAAAAGGAGAAAGGGGAAAGATCGCGTCATTTCCCAGGACACAGATAACTGAAACCTGATCCTCTTGCCAAGGAGTCCTTTCACTGAGAGAGAGAGAGAGAGAGAGAGAGAGAGAGAGAGAGAGAGAAGGGAGGGAGGGGAGTGCCTGAGAGGCCACTCTGGGAGGTTCTGGGGCCAAAAGGGAGCCCTGAGCACAGGTCTCCTCTGAACACCCCATGTGTCATCCGCCCCAGTCTTTGCCCTGAGCTGCGTCTTGATAGGAGCCAGCAGACATGGCTGGTCTGCCCAGTGGGCAGAGCAGTGGTCATGGAGGGCCGGCCACCATCCATCTCTGTTCCTTAGGAGCCGCTGCCCTCCTTCCCCTGCCTTTTGTGACAGGAGACCAGATGATGCTGTTGACAAGAACGTGCGCAAAGACCTTCACCTTGGGCCCGTAAGAGGCCGTTCTTTCTTCCTCTCACTCGGCGCTCTGTCAGACCCATTTTACAGAGCGGAAGCTAGTCCAGCCTGACTTGAACGGGTCAGGGTCGTTCGTCTTTGTTCAGCTGGAAGGAATCGCGGGTGTTTGTCAGGCCGAAGCCACAGAAATTTGGGGAGGCCACTTAGTGACCAGCTCTGTGCTGGGTGCAGCTCTGGGGAACACAGGCACGTGTGACAGAGTATCTGTCCTTGAGGCATCGTTTGCCATCCCGCTGGAACAACAAGGCTTTCAGCCGCAAGGATTGGCGAACGCTGTAGGAAGACGTCTAATCGAGAACCTGCACGTGGCTCTGGGCGTCCATCCTGGTGTGCTTCATGGAGGAGGCTTCTTTTAGGTGAAATGTCCCTGCTGCCGGGCGCGGTGGCTCACGCCTGTAATCCCAGCACTTCGGGAGGCCGAGGCGAGCGGATCACAAGGTCAAGAGATCGAGACCATCCTGGTCAACATGGTGAAACCCCGTCTCTACTAAAAATACAAAAAATTGGGCCGGGCGCGGTGGCTCAAGCCTGTAATCCCAGCACTTTGGGAGGCCGAGGAGGGTGGATCACAAGGTCAAGAGATCGAGACCATCCTGGTCAACATGGTGAAACCCCGTCTCTACTAAAAATACAAGGCATGGTGGCGCGTGCCTGTAATCCCAGCTACTCAGGAGGCGGAGGCAGGAGAATTGCCTGAACCCAGGAGGCGGAGGTTGCGGTGAGCCGAGATCGCGCCATTGCACTCCAGCCTGGGTAGCAACAGCGAAACTCCATCTCAAAAAAAAAAAAAGAAAAAGAAAAGAAATGTCCCTGCCGTTACTCTGTGTCGCCCGCTGATGATCGCGCTCCTGTGCTGTGCCAGGCGTTGACCCGGCACTGCGGATGCTCTGCTGCCATCCTGGTGTAGTACACTGTAAAGGCTCTGGCTTCCGTCTTATCTGTGTTTGTGTGTATTTTATAGTTCATTCATTTATTTACACACCATGTGTGTCCAGCGTACTCAAAAAGATTCAAGGCAGTTCATAATGAATGGCGGGAGTGCCAGAAACCCCCAAACGAGATTAAAGATTGAGGTCCAGGGTAGAGGAAGCTGGAGCTAGAGAATAATCACATCAGAAAAGCTGTATTCTCATGGACCAGTGTGATATAAAAATAAAAAAGAAAAAAAGAAAAAGAAAAGCTGTATTCAAGGAAGTGCTGCAATATTTGAACCTAAAAATTGGGCCTGGGCGCGGTGGCTCATGCCTGTAATCCCAGCACTTTGGGAGGCCGAGGCGGGCAGATCACAAGGTCAGGAGTTTGAGACCAGCGTGACCAACATAGTGAAACCCCGGCTTTGCTAAAACTACAAAAATTAGCCAGGTGTGGTGGCGCGCGCCTGGAGTCCCAGCTACTTGGGAGGCTGAGGCACAAGAATGACTTGAACCTGGAGGCGGAGGTTGCGGTGAGCAGAGATGGTGCCATTGCCCTCCAGTCCGGGTGACAAGAGCGAAACTCCGTCTCAATCAATCAGTCACTATTGGTTCTGAGCTGCCCGGCAGTTAGGTAGAAAGGGGGAATAGTGTGTCTACTAAAAAGGAAACATTTCATGCGTAGGTCCCTTCTTTCTGAGGCCAGAAATGAGTTCAGGCTCATTTCTCACCATCATCCCACGCACACTCCGTCTTGCTTGAGTGCATGCAGTTCTGCAGGAGCACTGCTTGACCCAGCCTCAGCTGCTCTCACCTCCCCGCAGCCCTGTCTACTTAACTCCGGTCGACGCCACGGACCTTGCTTCAACGGGCAGTGTGGTCACTACTTCACACGCCTGCCTGACCCTGCAGTCAGGGCTGCCGCCTTCCCCGTGTCGAAGCTTCTGCCTGGCCCTGTCACAGCGCGATCAGCGTACTGTCATTGCTCCCTGCTGCTCTCCCTACCTGCTGGTGAGTTTCACTCTTGTTACCCAGGCTTGAGTACAGTGGAGCCATCTTGGCTCACTGCAGTCTCTTGTCTCCTGGGTTCAGGAGTCCTGGACCAAGAGTCCTGTCCCTCCTCTCCGCTATCCCAGGGCCTAGCACAGCGCCTGCTGCACTGTAGCCAATAAATATTAGCCGCTAACAATTATTTCGCACATTAATTAATGATGTGCCAAAGCACCATGATAATGGTTTTCCAAATAGGGTCTCACTCTGTTGCCCAGGCTGGAGCTCACCGCAACCTCTGCCTCCCAGGTGCAAGTGACTCTCCTGCCTCAGTCTCCCAAGTAGCTGGGATTACAGGTGTCCACCACCACACCTGGCTACTTTTCGTAGAGACTGAGTTTCACCATGTTGGTTAGGCTGGTCTTGAACTCCTGACCTGAAGCAATCTACCCTTGGCCTCCGAAACTGCTGGGATGATAGGCGTGAACCATCGCACCCGACCCATGTAACTCTCCCAGTCCTGCTGTGTCACCCAGGCTGGAGCGCAGTGGCACGATCTTGGCTCACTGCAACCTCCGCCTCCTGGGTTCAAGCAATTCTCCAAGTAGCTGGGATTACAGGTGCGAGCCACTAGACCCAGCTAATTTTTGTATTTTTAGTAGAGATGGGGTTTCACCATGTTGGCCAGGCTGGTCTGAAACTCCTGAACTCGTGATCTGCCCCCCTCAGCCTCCCAAAGTGCTGGGATTACAGGAATGAATCATTGCACCCAGCCCATATATTGTCTCATTTAACTTTTTTTTTCTTTCTTTTTTTTTTTTTTTTTTTGAGACGGAGTTTCGCTCTCGTTACCCAGGCTGGAGTGCAATGGCGCGATCTCGGCTCACCGCAACCTCCGCCTCCTGGGTTCAGGCAATTCTCCTGCCTCAGCCTCCTGAGTAGCTGGGATTACAGGCACGCGCCACCACGCCCAGCTAGTTTTTTGTATTTTTAGTAGAGACGGGGTTTCACCATGTTGACCAGGATGGTCTGGATCTCTCGACCTCGTGATCCACCCGCCTCGGCCTCCCAAAATGCTGGGATTACAGGCTTGAGCCACCACGCCCGGCCTTCTTCTTTTTTTTTTTTTTTTAAATAAAGACGGGGTTTCACCATGTTGTTCAGGCTGGTCTTGAATTCCCGACCTCAGGTGATCTGCCTGCCTTGGCCTCCAAAGTGCTTGGATTACAGGTATGAGCCACCACCATGCCCGGCCTCATTTAACTCTTAAAATAACCTTGTGACATAGTTGTTATTACGCCCATTTTACAAGTGAAAAAACAGATTAGCCGGGCGCGGTGGCTCAAGCCTGTAATCCCAGCACTTTGGGAGGCTGAGGCGGGTGGATCACGAGGTCGAGAGATCGAGACCATCCTTGTCAACATGGTGAAACCCCATCTCTACTAAAAATACAAAAAACTAGCTGGGTATGGTGGCGCGTGCCTGTAATCCCAGCTACTCAGGAGGCTGAGGCAGGAGAATTGCCTGAACCCAGGAGGCGGAGGTTGCGGCGAGCCGAGATCGCGCCATTGCACTCCAGCCTGGGTAACAAGAGCGAAACTCCGTCTGAAAAAAAAAAAACAAAAAAACTAAGATTAAATGAGCCACAGTAACCAAGGACTCGTAACAGTGGACCTAGCCTCAGACTCAGATCTGCCTGATTTTGAAGCCATTGGAAAGGATGAGACATTTTGCATTTATGGCCTTTTATTGGAATTATTTTTATCTGTTACTAGATTATGAGTCCTCAAAGGAAAGGGGCGAAGAGCTTTGCTCCAAGGGCATAGCAGAGAGCACATTGCTTTGCACACAGGAACTGCTGAAATAGTTCTCAGCAACAAGAGTTCTTTTATTTTTATTTTTATTTTTATTTATTTATTTTTTTTTTTGAGACGGAGTTTCACTCTTGTTACCCAGGCTGGAGTGCAATGGCGCGACCTCAGCTCACTGCAACCTCCACCTCCCGGGTTCAAGCAATTCTCCTGCCTCGGCCTCCGAAGCAGCTGGGATTACAGGCGCACACCACCACGCCCAGCTAATTTTTGTTGTATTTTTAGTAAGACGTGGTTTCACCCTGTTGGCCAGGATGGTCTCAATCTCTTGGACCTCATGATCCACCCGCCTCGGCCTCCCAAAGTGCTGGGATTACAGGCTTGAGCCACCGCACAGGACATTCTGATTGTCATCACTGGGGGAGGCAGACAGCTTACCACTGCACCTGGAGAGTAGAGGCTGGGGGCCCGCTAAGCCCCCTGCCCCCTGCAGTGCACAGGACAGCGCCAGATCAAAGAAATACCTGGCACAAATGTCAGTGGTGCCAAGGAGGAAAAACCCTGCTGAATAAGCGGGGAGGAGAGCCCTGCCCACTAATCCCTCCTGGCAGGAAACTTCCCCCCCGGGCCCCTCTCTACCTTGCCCCGTGGGTCTGCAGGTACCTCCTCTGAGTCTCAGGGTTTTTGGTCTCATTTCTTCTTGCCATGTCCACTGGCCATTTGGTGTTTCCATTTTGTGTGCAACAAAATACCAAAAAAGGGTGAATGATTTTTTTAAATTTTTTTTTTCTTTTTTTTGAGACGGAGTTTTGCTCTTGTTGCCCAGGCTGGAGTGCAATGGCGCGATCTCGGCTCACCGCAACCTCCGCCTCCTGGGTTCAGGCAATTCTCCTGCCTCAGCCTCCTGAGTAGCTGGGATTACAGGCACGCGCCACCATGCCCAGCTGATTTTTTGGATTTTTAGTAGAGACGAGGTTTCACCATGTTGACCGGGATGGTCTCGATCTCTCGACCTCGTGATCCACCCGCCTTGGCCTCCCAAAGTGCTGGGATTACAGGCTTGAGCCGCCACGCCCGGCCTAATTTTTTTTATTTTTTATCTTTTTTTTTTTTTTTTTTTAAGGGTGAATGATTTTATTGAGGACCAAATGGAGTCCCAGCAGAATGGTTGGTGTTTTCTGTATCCTGCATTAGCCTTGTCGCTTAATTTCTCCTGAAAAAGAGTATCATGGGTGCGGAGGCTCACGCCTGTAATCCCAGCACTTTGGGAGGCTGAGGTGGGTCGATCACTTGAGGTCAGGAGTTCGAGACCAGCGTGACCAATACAGAGAAACCCCATCCCTACTAAAAATACAAAAAGTAGCTGGGTATGGAGGCTGAGGCAAGAGGATCGTTTGAACCTGGGATGTGGAGGTTGCAGTGACTTCAGCCTGGGACACAGCGTGAGACAATGTCTCAAAAAGAGAAAAGTAGTTTAACTTTGAGTCAGAGCCAGCTATTTCTGACATTTAACCAATAAGAAAACAGGCTCTGGGAGGTCAAGTAACTTGTTCAAGATCACACAGCCATGAACAGTTTCAGACCAGGCATGGTGGCTCACGCCTGTAATCCCAGCACTTTGGGAAGGCTGGATGGGCGGATCATGAGATCAGGAGTTCAAGACCAGCCTGACCAACATGGTGAAACCCATTTCTACTAAAAAAATACAAAAATTAGCTGCGTGTGGTGGTGCACACCTGTAATCCCAGCTACTAGGGAGGCTGAGGCAGAAGAAACGTTTGAACCTGGGAGGCGGAGGTTGCAGTGAGCCAAGATCGTGCCACCTCACTCCAGCCTGGAAGACAGAGACAGACGCCATCTTTTTTAAAAAAAGGCAATTTCAGACCCAGCTGTGAGCTCTCCAAACCAGTGCCTCTGCTGTTTTCCACGTAAAACAGCAGCAGCCTGTGCAGACGGGAATGAGACAGTCAGCAAATTAAAGGTGTGTTTGTGTTTTCCAAACACCAGATCCATCCCCATTCCCTGCCTTGTCCGCAAGCAGGAAAGATAGAGTTCTGGGGACATGTGGGCCGGGCATGGTGGCACACAACTGTAGTCTCAGCACTTTGAGAGGCCAAGGCAGGAGGACTGCTTGAGGCCGGGAGTTTGAGACCAGCTTGGGCAACATAGGGACACCCCGTCTCTACAAAACATTTAAAAATTAGTTGGGTGGCCGGGCGCGGTGGCTCACGCCTGTAATCCCAGCACTTTGGGAGGCTGAGGCGGGTGGATCACGAGGTCAAGAGATCGAGACCATCCCGGTCAACAAGGTGAAACCCCGTCTCTACTAAAGATACAAAAAAATTAGTTGGGCATGGTGGCGCGTGCCTGTAATCCCAGCTACTCAGGAGGCTGAGGCAGGAGAATTGCCTGAACCCAGGAGATGGAGGTTGCAGTGAGCTAGATCGCACCACTGCACTCCATGGTAACCCTAAGTTAAACCCTAAACTGCCAAGAAAATCTCTGGGGAGCTCCACCACCCAGCTCCTGGCACACACGCCCCTTGCTGGGAGGAGGCACTCTGAGTTTCCCTCCCTACCAGCTGGCACTGGGGACTTATTAAGCAGCACCAATCAGGGCTTCTGACACCAAACCCAGAGTCTGTTGTGACAACCGTACTGTTGTGAATTAGGGGACACCATGTGCATGCTAACACATGTGTATGTGTGTGTGTGGATGCGCACACGTGCATGCTCCCGAAAAGGTGGCCTTCATTCAGGGCGTAAACTGGGCCTTGGCCTCCTGGCCTCTCTGAGCTGCTTCCTGCTGACCTCCATCCAAGGAGGGGCGTCCCCTGCGATCGGGAGTGGAGCTGGGCCCCTCCTGGCCTCTTCTGCTCAGATTAACCCCTTCCCCCCAGTTTGCCTGTGCCTGGCAGTGGGGCTCTCGGCCAAGGGGCGCAGACACTCGTTGGCTCCAGGGCTGTGGATGCCATAAACCCCTTTTCCTCGGGGCCTCCAGAGCTCTGCATCTTACTTTCAGAAAGCAGAAGTGTTTTGCTTGCAATGGCCCTGGGAGGCGGGAGAGCCCAGGGCTCTGTACCCACGTTCGTCATTTGCCATTGGTGAGGCAGGAGCCGCTGCAGGGGCCGGCGCTGGGGAGGCCGCGGGAGGGGAGTGAGCAGCTGCAGCTGCTGCCGGGAAGTTTGGCTTCGGGGAGGAATGGAGGGAGAGAGGGCAAGAAGAAGGGGTGGGACTTGGGGACAGGGGCGGTGTCACGGGGGAGGAGGGAGCAGGTGGTGACTTGTTTATCTGCTCAGCTGTTTTGTGTCCAGGAGCCTGAGAGAGACACAGAAGCAGCTGGGAGGAGAAAAAGCGCGGCCAGGGGCCCTCCTGGTCCTTCTGCCGTAGCCACAGGTTCTGAAACCAAAGCGAAACCACCAGAGAGTGATTCATGTGGGTATGGCCCTCCCTTCCCCTGCCCAGAAAGGTTTCTCTTGAGCCCATATGCTAGTTTCTGTCATGCAAACGCCCTGGCAGTGCCCTCCTTGCCTTGGCGCAGTGGCTCTGATTGGGTAGGCATCCCCCGGGGTTAACACTGGCACAAAGTCACGTAAATCTTGGCTGCGCCTAAGTCTGGTGTACTCTCGGATGTGACCTGGCGTGGTCCTGGAGGGCCAGCCAGCTAGCTTCTAGCCTCGGTATCAGCCTGGACCAAACCAAAGGAAACCGTCCCAGGTGAAACAGGATAGACACCATCCCCTGATCAGCATTCCCTAGTGCCTCCCTTTCAGTGCCCAGTTTAGATTCCTCTCTCCAAATGCCCCAGACCTGTGCAGATTACTCATTGGGCCGCTTCGTGCCCCAGATGCAAATTTACCGTGTTTCATTTGTATGTGAAATTCTTCGGAGACAAGGCTGGAATGCAGCTTAATTTGCCCTGCTTTGGACCAGGTTGATAAACATGCCCCCAGCCTGTCCCGGCACTTGAGAATCTGGAAAGCAGCTATGCTTCAATTACAGTGCAATTTCAGGAGTTCGCTCGCTGGTCCCCCTTGGCTCTTTGTCTACCTTATTATTTGTGTCTTGTTTGTTTGTTTAAATGAGAACTTTGGTAGGCAGTTCCCTCTCCCGCCTCCCCCAGAGGCGAGTTTGTGTTGCTAAAGGACTTTTTCTGCCTCCCTCTGGGTTTACAAAGCCAGGGTATCTCTGTTGACAAAGGGTCTGCTGTCTGGCACTGGGCCTGGCGGTTAGGAACTGTGTAAGAAATGCAGCTGCCTCCTACAGATGCCTGCCCTGCTCCTGTAAGCAGCAAAGTAACCCCGCGCCACCTTGGGAAGACCCCACATCCCAGCTTCTGCTCTCTGAGCACTCTGCCCTGCCAACCCTGCAACGCTAGGGATTCAAGAAACATGGAAACGGCAGTGGGGGACTGCGTGAGGCATTCAGGGAATAGGGGATCGTGACACTGTCTGTAGGTGGGTTGGCTTAGCAGAGGGATTGGGAGCAGCCGGCTGGAGGGGTGGAAAGAACGGGACCGGGAGCCAGGAAGCTGAGCTTTTGTTCATCCCAGCTTTGCCACTGCCAAGTCAGGTGGTCTTGGGCCAGACTGGGCCAAGTCTGCGCCTTCCTGTGTCAAACGCAGACTCTCATCTCAAGGTACTTTTCTACTTTACAGAGTCTCTTGCCTTTAGAATGCTAATTTCTTTGACTATAGCCCATTTCCTCCTCCAGAGACAAGGTAACCCAATAAAATCGCCCCTTTGTGGTGGTTAGTCACACGGCCAGCTTCAATCGCCGTCTTTTCCCCAAACCCAGATGTCCAGGCTGAGGCACCCGTTAAAACTTTCATCTTGGGGAACTCTGGGAGTTGCCTCTTGCAGGTCAGGGGTCCCGAAGGACGGAAGCGCCAGCATACTATCTTCTTGAGCATTTCCTGTGCAGTTTTCCATGGGATGATGGCTCCTCCATCTTCTACCTCCTGGGGAGTCTAGCTGAGCTCTACTTCACCTTTTTTTTTTTTTTTTAAGACGGAGTTTCGCTCTTGTTACCCAGGCTGGAGTGCAATGGCGCGATCTCGGCTCACCGCAACCTCTGCCTCCTGGGTTCAGGCAATACTCCTGTCTCAGCCTCCTGAGTAGCTGGGATTACAGGCACGCGCCACCATGTCCAGCTAATTATTTGTATTTTTAGTAGAGACGGGGTTTCACCATGTTGACCAGGATGGTCTCGATCTCTTGACCTCATGATCTACCCACCTCAGCCTCCCAAAGTGCTGGGATTACAGGTTTGAGCCACCGCGCCCGGCCTTTTTTTTTTTTTTTTTTTTTTTTTTTAAGACGGGGTTTCACTTTGTTGGTTAGGCTGGTCTTGAACTCCTGACCTCAGGTGATCCGCCTGCCTTGGCCTCCAAAGTGCTTGGATTACAGGTGTGAGCCACCACGCCTGGCCCTGAGCTCTACTTTATATAAAGTCAGTGTTCTTGGGCTTCAGATGGATTCTATTCCATTTTCCAAATATTTCTTTGAGCTCTTACTCTGTGACTGACATTGCTGGACACAGAGGAATACAAAGATAATGGATGACTTAGTCCTCGTCTGGATAGACTGGACCCACCAATGGGTGAGGCCAAACTTGATAGAATGCTCAGAAAACATTTCTCCCTGCAACTTGAAGAACATGGGGAAATAAACAGTGGACTGATAAATGGATTTCAAAGGGGAGAGTGGAATTTATTTGTTATATATAAGAAAGTTAACCATAAGAAATTTATTCTGGTAGATTGTACTTAGAGAGGATTTGGCAACTGTAATTGCAATAATAACAAGAATAATAACAGCTATTGTTTCTGGAGTGCTTGCTATTTATCTATCATGCATTTTGGCAGATATTTTACATGCTTTATCCTATTCCATTTTTATTATTGTTTTAACCTTTTTTTTTTTTGAAATGGAATCTTGCTCAGGATGCACTGCAGTGGTGCGATCTCAGCTCAATGCAACCTCCGCCTCCTGGGTTCAGGCAATTCTCCTGCCTCAGCCTCCTGAGTAGCTGGGATTACAGGCACACGCCACCATGCCCAGCTAATTTTTTTGTATTTTTAGAGACGGGGTTTCACCACGTTGACCAGGATGGTCTCGATGTCTTGACCTCGTGATCTACCCGCCTCGGCCTCCCAAAGTGCTGGGATTACAGGCTTGAGCCACCATCCCAGCCTTTATTCTCATTTTTTTTTTTTTTTATCATTACAGCCAGGAATGATTCTGTACCCTTGTAAATGGCTCCAACTTCTGGGTCCATCCTTGTCGCTGATCCTTTGACTGCGTTCCTCTTCACACTGGGAAAAATGCCCAGGAGGGACTCTTGCTTTGCTGTGTGGAGCTGTCTCCCAAAGGCTGCCCTTAGGGGAGAGATGTTTGTGTCTATCTCCAATATACCAATTAAAAATCCTGCCTTAGTTCCAGTGTTTCCTGGTCTGATTCTAGGGGCTCAGCCAGTCCCTCAGCTCATTCAAGCCTCAGGAGATCCAGGCTGGAATAGCCGTGGAGCCAATCGCTGGGCAGAAGACTGAGAGAGGGAGCCAGGTGGCAAATGCCATCTGGGTTTACATCTTCATCCAGTTTTCTTTCGTTTTTTTGAGCCGGAGTTTCGCTCGTTACCCAGGCTGGAGTGCAATGGCGCGATCTCGGCTCACCGCAACCTCTGCCTCCTAGGTTCAGGCAATTCTCCTGCCTCAGCCTCCTGAGTAGCTGGGATTACAGGCACACGCCACCATGCCCAGCTAATTTTTTTTTGTATTTTTAGTAGAGACGGGGTTTCACCATGTTGACCAGGATCATCTTGATCTCTTGACCTTGTGATTCACTTGCCTTGGCCTCCCAAAGTGCTGGGATTACAGTCTTGAGCCACTGCGCCCGGCCCATTTTATTTTATTTATTTATTATTTTATTTATAGATACAGTCTTGCTCTGTTGCCCAGGATAGTGAGTTATGATTGCAGTGGTGTGATCTTTGCAGCCTGGGATTCTTGGGTTACAGAGATTCTTCTGCCTTAGCCTCCCAAATCCCTATGACTATGGGTGTGTGCCACCACACCTGGCTAATTTTTAAAAATTTTTATATTTTAACTTTTTTTTTTTGGAACTGGGACTACAGGGGCACGCCACCACGTCCAGCTAATTTTTGTATTTTTAGTAGAAACAGGGTTTCACCATGTTAATCAGGCTGGTCTCGAACTCCTGACCTTGCTATCTACCCGCCTCCACCTCTGAAAGTGCTGGGATTACAAGCATAAGCCACTATGTCTAGCCTTTACTTTAATTTACATATATATATATATATATATATATATTTTTTTTTTTTTGAGACGGAGTCTTGCTGTGTTGCCCAGGCTGTAATACAATGGCGTGATCTCAGCTGACTGCAACCTCCGTCTCCCAGGTTCAAGCAATTCTCCTGCCTCAGCCTCCCGAGTAGCTGGGATTACAGGCATGTGCCACAATGCCCGGCTAATTTTTATATTTTTAGTAGAGGTGGGGTTTTGCCATGTTGGCCAGGCTGGTCTCGAACTCCTCACCTTGTAATTCACCCACCTCGACCTCCCGAAATGCTGGGATTACACCGCACCCGGCCCTAATTTTTATATTTTTAGTGATAGGGTCTTGCTATGTTGCTCAGGCAGATTCATACACCCCACTAATTTTTGAATTTTTCTCTCTTTTTTTTTTTTTTTTTTTTTTTTGAGACGGAGTTTCACTCTTGTTACCCAGGCTGGAGTGCAATGGCGCGATCTCGGCTCACCGCAACCTCCGCCTCCCGGGTTCAGGCAATTCTCCTGCCTCAGCCTCCTGAGTAGCTGGGATTACAGGCACGTGCCACCATGCCCAGCTAATTTTTGTGTTTTTAGTAGAGACGGGGTTTCACCATGTTGACCAGGATGGTCTCGATCTCTTGACCTCGTGATCCACCCACCTCGGCCTCCCAAAGTGCTGGGATTACAGGCTTGAGCCACCCCGACTGGCCATCTCTCTCTTTTTTTATTTTTATTTTTTTGAGGTGGAGTCTTGCTCTGTCGCCCAGGCTGGAGTACAGTGGTGTGATCTCGGCTCATTGCAATCTCCACCTCCCAGGTTCAAGCAATTCTCTGCCTCAGTCTCTCAGGTAGCTGGGATTACAGGTGCCCAGCACCATGTCCTGCTAATTTTTTGTATTTTTAGTAGAGACGGGGTTTCACCATCTTGACCAGGCTGGTCTCAAACCCCTGACCTCGCGATCCACCCACCTCGGCCTCCAAAAGTGCTGAGATTACAGGCATGAGCCACTTCGCCCATCCCAGTGTTCTCATCTCTACCATGAAAATGGTTATAGTATCTGAAGATTAAATGATGTCACATATGTGAAGCCTCTGGCACAATGTAAATCCTCAAGTAATATTTATTAGGAGCTCTTGCCACTAAGCCCAATGACGCATTTAGTACCTGAACCAAATGATCTCTTGTTTCCTGGGAAATGAAGCAAAAGTGAATTATTGGCCAGGTGCAGTGGGTCACGCTTGTAATCCCAGCACATTGGGGGGCCGAGGTGGGCAGATCACCTAAGGTCAGGAGTTCGAGACCAGCCTGACCAACCCATCTCTACTAAAAATACAAATTTAGCTGGGCGTGGTGATGCATGCCTGTAATCCCAGCTACTTGGGAGGCTGAGGCACGAGAATCGCTTGAACCCAGGTGGTAGAGGTTGCAGTGAGCCCAGATTGCACTATTGCACTCCAGCCTGGGCAACAAGAGCAAAACTCTGTCTCAAAAAAAAAAAAAAAAAAAAGCCGGGTGCGGTGGCTCAAGCCTGTAATCCCAGCACCTTGGGAGGCCGAGGCGGGTGGATCACGAGGTCGAGAGATCGAGACCATCCTGGTCAACATGGTGAAACCCCGTCTCTACTAAAAATACAAAAAGTTAGCTGGGCATGGTGTTGTGTGCCTGTAGTCCCAGCTACTCAGGAGGCTGAGGCAGGAGAATTGCCTGAACCCAGGAGGCGGAGGTTGCGGTGAGCCAAGATCGCGCCATTGCACTCCAGCCTGGGTAACAAGAGCGAAACTCCGTCTCAAAAAAAAAAAAAGAAGTGAACCTGAGAGCAGGACTTCTGTCTAAAGGGGGCAGCTACTGGCTTTGCCTTGTATGAAGGGGTCGCCTTTTGCCCAATCCTCTGAATTTTTTTCTTTTTTTTTTTTTAAAGATGGGGTTTCGGGGCCAGGCGCAGTGGCTCAAGCCTGTAATCCCAGCACTTTGGGAGGCCGAGGCGGGTGGATCACGAGGTCGAGATCGAGACCATCCTGGTCAACATGGTGAAACCCCGTCTCTACTAAAAATGCCAAAATTACCTGGGTGTCGGTAGTCTCAGCTACTTGGGAGGCTGAGACAGGAGAATTCCTTGAACCCAGGAGGCGGAGGTTGCAGTGAGCTGAGATCGCGCCATTGCACTCCAGCCTGGGTAACAAGAGCGAAACTCCGTCTGAAAAAAAAAAAAAAAGGGCCGGGCGCGGTGGCTCAAGCCTGTAATCCCAGCACTTTGGGAGGCCGAGGCGGGTGGATCACGAGGTCGAGAGATCGAGACCATCCTGGCCAACATGGTGAAACCCCGTCTCTACTAAAAATACAAAAAATCAGCTGGGCATGGTGGCGCGTGCCTGTAATCCCAGCTACTCAGGAGGCAGAGGCATGAGAATTGCCTGAACCCAGGAGGCAGAGGTTGTGGTGAG